AAACTTGTATGCATCGTGGCTTTGTCACCATGGCACGATGTGACTACAGACGAACAATATTATGCTAATGTAATGTTAACGATAAGTCGAAAATTACTCTAAAAATATTTTATATACTTAAAAAAACGCTAAATATTGTATTAAAATTCTGAGTTCGCTATTGTATTTTTTTTTTTTATTGAGCATATTTACATCGACAACAAAGGCTATTAGTTACACTTATTTATACAGTAATTATATAATATAATTTATATTGATATCGCTATTGTTTAATGTGTACGTATAAATGTAAAATCACTATACAAAATCGAAAAAATAATTTTGTTGTAAGGCTGGATGATGTATAAATGTTTTTGAACTCKTRAAATAGGTACGTATAAAATGTATTTCTTACTATAGTTAAATAATCATTTAAGTTTTAAATAAAAAAAAACGCTTTATTGCTCTATTTAGTAAGATGACTAAGATGTATAGTATTTAACTACGTGGGGTGGGGAGGGGGTTATAGAAATCCCTAGTCCGAATCCCCCCGACAGTGTAATTATAATTTTATAATGTAATAATAATTTTACACATGTACACTTTTCAGGTGAGATTGAATCCCTACTCTAGCCCCTATTCCCTATATGTACGTTATTGGCTCTATTACAATATTTTTTAATATTAGGTTAAAGTTCAGCTGAATACGCATCTTTAAATATTAATATTTTCCTTTTTTTTATAGGACTGTGTCTTCTAGAGTCTGTTAATAATTTACATAAATTATATTATATAAAATATAATATTTGAAAGTATTAAGAATTTAATGTTTTAATAAACATAATATATTATCTAAATAATTTTTAACAGTTCACTAAAACATTACTTATTATAACTTAATTATATTTTAAATGCTTTATATTATGATATTATTTGTATATACTTGGTTGTATGTTATTGTTATAGGCCTATAGTTATTGCCCAAGAATTGTAATTTGTTATGTTTAGTAGTTAGGTATTATAGCAAAGATGGGTAAAAATGGAAGATACTGAAAAAGTATCTAGGTACATTAATTTATTACAGTTCTTAGATGATATTTATCTACAATATACACTTCATATTAAGTATTTATTACACTCTTAGATGAAATAAATAAGTTTAAAAAGTTCTCATTCTGCTATGTTTTAGTTTATTATTTTATCGTTTTACTGTATTGTTGTTTAAATTACATATTATTACCTTTAGGTACAAATAAACAGTATAAAAAAATATAAATGATTATATTTATATCAATATACAATATACACCATAATGAATAGGTAGCGCRGAGGTATGYCAGTTCTTCGCTAATTGTAATTTTGATGACTYTAAATTTCGTTAGTATCGCGGTCGTATCTTGCGGTCGATTCTTTGTATTACCTCTTTGAATATAACATTTCTAATTCACAATAAATAACGAATGACTCATCTAGGAAATTGCGTATGTATACAGGAAAGCTATGTCATGATTATAATTTATACAATATTAATCTATATATTAATAATTTAAATTAAATCGTCATTATGTTGTTAGTGTTGTTACTATTTTATTTTTTAACATTCAATTGAATCCATGCAATTTAAAAGCTTAAAAAAACKTATTTATATTTATATTATTTTATGTAATTTTGTACGATGTGTTTATATTATGCATCTCAGCATTAATCGCTTACACATAATTTTGCAAACTAAAAAAAACATAAAATAATGCATTTTATAATATACTTATTGTTATTACTAATATTACCTATTTATAATATTAAAAAAAAAATTATTATACTTTATATAGGTACAACAGAAATAGTTTAACATTATTTATAAAAGATGTACTTAAGGTATTCAGTCAACATTTTAAGTTTTTGACTGATATTTTTTAATAAAAATACTATAGTTTATATAAGTAGTTCCGTTATTTTCGCAGGCAATAAATGGTAATAATTAAATAAGAGTATAAAACACGCTCATGTCTGATTGACAAAGGCAAGGATACAAGTGTTTTTGCACCCGATTCTTTAACTTATTGGCTAATTTAATCAAATATTGCTATATCAGCTTATATAATTTTAATTTAAGAAGTAAAATATGTAGTTTTCATGCAGATGGTGGGTGTCTGATTATAGTCGTATAACTGTATAATCCACTTTGGGTGATGTTATTAACGATTGTTTAATGTTAATACATTAAATATTAAATACATTATTGCAGATTAAAATATCTAATAAAAATATTTTTAAGATAAATAAAAATTGAGAGTTAAGTGATTTTAATTGATGTGTTAAAAAAAATTCTATTTTTTCCCCTTAATTTTGTAATATTACATATACATTATTTTTGATCTGATTAGGTTGTTTTGKTTTATATAGACAAGCTTTAACGGCTTAATGTGTAGTTTTGGAAAYAATATCCCAAAATTACGGCTGCAGTAGTATTAAACCTATTACCTATACAGAGACATATTGTATTATAATACTTGTACACTATACAGTATACAGATATACACTATATGAACCTTTTTTCACAAACACATTATAATGCTTACAACAGTTTTCCTCTAGCACTCATTCTACATTSTTACTTCTGTAGTATATAAAAAAGTAAGCAATTTAAATAAAACACCTTACTATATATTCCACTTATAACTGTTTAAATCAAGTAACACATTAAAAATATTATTTTAAATGCATATCTTTCGGTTTGCTTTGTCGGATTAACTTGTAGTTTATTTTCTTTCTACATTTTGTGCTAAAAAGTATATGTTTGTATAATTATTTTATGAGGCAAAAAAAAATCACACTGTAAAAACCAGTAATGTATTCTTAAAATAAAACAAATTGATTGCAATCGTTTTTAAGTTAATATGCAAAATAAATTGAAAAAAAATTTGAAGAACAATATTATTTTATCGAGAATGGTATATTAGTATGAAACATTCAAAGTGGCTGAACRCGGATCAGCTATCAGGCTCTAAAATATGTCGTTTCACTCTGTCGTGCAGTAGCGCGGTGTCCTAATTAAATCTCGTACATGCATCATAATCTATTGTAAATTGTGATTTGATGCCATATTTTTAGGCTTTAGTCAGTTCTGAAATATATATGCATCTATGTATATTTTTTCAATTTTCACGTTACGGACATTAAGACAAGTGGYGTGTCCTTCGGTTCTTGTCAAGTCGGCGCTGCCGACGCTACACCATCGTCAGCACTGTAAACATTGGAGGCGGCGGCGGGACTTCCACCTCTCGCCAGCCGACCGACAATCGTCGGCGGTGCCGGGTGCGCGCGCGTCTCCCAACGACACCACTCGCGCGCGCCTCTGCGTCGGAAATAATCGCGATTCGCGACTGCCGGGCGGCGGGCAGTGTACCGTCTAATTCCGTGGCGTGCGTATACGTCGTAGTGTSTCACGTGACCGCCGTTCCGATCTATTGGTGACGCACAAATCATTTTTCACGGTTCTCGTARAAAACAATGTCATATTGTAAACGTTAAAAACAATTTTCACGTTCAGTAAGCTCGTTCTACAACTGTTATAGAATTGTGCTCGTGTGATACCGTTTCCGTCGCACACATATATTATATATACATAACATATATAATATACGTATGGATTGTGATCGCCACTGGTAGTGGTTGTTTCGGTGGTGTATCCCATCTCATTATCGTGCAATAATAATAACATGTAATATTCTGCTCGAGGCCAACCGATCCACGGTTTCCTGTTAATGGTATCTTCTGCATTCACATGGTGAGCTCTATTTTACCGGCGGTGCATTCAAACTTTCTTCGATGAGAATCACATCTCTGTTTATTTGTACGTTTCGTTCCGTTTTTAACGATTTTTTCCCTCCCACGCTTTGTATTGTACGATACATTTGTTGTCGTCTCGTTTAGTTACTACAATGTATGTATAATATATACATGTGTACTTAAACTTAATGCATGTACGTATACTAGGTTTATGCACCTGTTTAGTATTAGACTGGCGAGTGGCGAGGGTCAACATTTGGGTGGGTCAAGACGATGACTTAACTAGTCGTTGTCTAAACTTCGTGTCTGAAAATCGACTCCGATTATAATTTACTAGTAAAAGTGATAGTTAAATTATACTTACATAACCTCGTAATGACCTTATTTGCAACTGCTATTTATTTTATACTTTATAGTCATACTACAAGGTTTAAAATATTATGTTGATAATAATKATTAGCATCATATAATACATTTTTGGGATATTTATCAGTCTTGGCATTATCATTGGATTAATTTTTACATCTCACATATGTTCTGGAAGTAAACGTAATAGATAAATGTTTAGCACGATATTGCAATTACCGACTTCTTACGTATATACTTAATACTTACCTATGTATTGCTGTAGTAGCCTCAAAATATTAATACCTACCTTATTTTACATTTTACTTCATGTGTTTTATATTTGTCTTGGGAAATGATTCGTCAATAAAAAAATTCTACCCTATATCTTTATTCAATTATTTTAATATAATATTATTAAAGGTGTTATAACTTTATGCTTAGGTTTAAATGTTTATTTGCACCTATTTTACAATACAGTTTTGTAATAAAATGATTTTAAAATACGTTTTATATTTCGTTATTTTATTGAAAGCTTTTATCACGTCTCCTGGTCAATAACCATAATACGCATTTAAAAATAATTGACGATAACATTAAATAATAAACAACTACAACTACTGTGGAATTTTCAAGCTAGTGTTTTATTTTACATTTCCCATGCAATATTGTATGTATTAAATAATTGTAGCTATTTCTATTTTTATCATATCTGTTACTATCTTGTTAGTTGGAGGGGGCCTTAAAAATATATTATAAATGTTTGTGTACAGACTACAGAGTGATTAGTGTATCATAATAATTAATAACTAATAATGTATTATTGTGGATTACGGAACTAATTAATATTTGGTTCAGTTATTTATTGTTTAATAAGTTTTAGTTGTTAATCTTAAAAATATTATATTATATTTAGGTATTTAAAAAAAAATAAAAAWAAATAGTATGGAATTTTATAGCTAAACTAAAAATCTAATTGCTTACAAAATGCAGATAATATCACACTTGCCTATAATACTTTTAATATAAGATATTTTAACCCTTGATACCCGGAATTTTTATAAAATATTTATATTATCATTATAGGTAACTATAGCCAAATGAAATAATTTTCATATATTTGGGATCTTTTGAACTATTTTAAAAGTATTATGTAATAAAATTATGCAGTTTTTTTCTCAAGTCAAAAACCTTGTAAATCTAATGAAAGATTTTTCATAAGTTGTTCTTAACTATTAAAAATATCAGAAATACAAAGGTTAKACCTAGTATCACTAAAATGAGAATGATTAGATGAGTGGAGTGACAAGAGAAGATAGAATAAGGAACGAATATGTGCAGTAGTATTGCTGTAGTTTYGATAGTGGACAAGAAAATAGATTGAGATGGTTTGGGCATGTGATTAGGCGAGAGGAAATAAAAGCAGTAAGAGTAGTTATGAAAATGAACGTTGAAAAAAAAAGAGAAAGAGGAAGACTAAAAAAGAGATGGTTGGATACTATTGAGAATTATATGAGGGCTGTTAGTATGTGCATAGAAGATATGGAAAATCGAGAAGAGTGGAGGTGTAAGACAGGTGGCCGAAGAAGGAAGGCGAAGACTAAGAAGAAGAAAAAGTTATACCTAGTATTTTTTAAGCGTTTGAAGTTTAAATCTCGAAATTGGATATTGAAACRAAAAATAATAAATGTTTGTTATTCAAAAAGGGCTTTAATAGTGGCAAATAGTCTTAAATGTTTTAGTATTTGCATTTAATTTCGTTGGAAACCAACAATACATATTATAGATATAATGCAAATATTAGTTTATACACACATTAATAATATATTAATAAATTATATGTGTTTGATCGTTGATTCTTTTTCTTTAAATCTTAATTTACTTATACTAMGTATATAGAAACTATAATATAGTCTATATGTAATTAATATTTCTATTTTTTAATTTTATATCGCATTTAAATCATGTCGAGTGTTACCGCTGGGTTGCTACTCACCTCACGCATTCACAACAACTGTAAATTCAGCCCATATGCTTATTGTAACCATTATTACAGATTGTATATATTCTAATAAATGTTAAAAAAAAAAAAAAATATCGAATTTATTTTTATAAATTTTAAAAGATTGAGAAAACAACCTATATACTGACAATTATAATTCGAAACCAGCCAATTTGATAGTAATCAATTCCAAATTCATGAGATAATACCTGTTTTTGTCGTACTTAAAACCCGAATAGTCTTCCTCCTTATATTTACGTTTGCTTTCTTATGGATTCAATAATCATATTTTATGATCTAAACATTTTTATGTAGTAAATGGAGTGAGCATAATTAAATGTATTTTTAAGTTTCAATTGCAACTATGATTGGTTATCACCTACAGCTTGTTCATATTTTTAATATATATTTAAATTAATTAATTTATAATTTTGAATAGGATTTTTCTTTAGATACTATAGTTTTATCTTGTATTATTAAAATAATACTCCATATTGTCTTAAAATAGAATTTTTCATATTTTCCATAGGTTGTTGGTAAATTACCCTTACGCGCATAAGGAATTAATCCCGTAGGATACAAGCTAAATTATTGTTATTTTTAAAAATGTTGTCTAAATAATTTTAATATTTTAATATGMAATTTTTATAGATTTTTTGCTAGCTTAAAAAGTTTTTATATGGTAAAAAAGCTTTATAACCAATAAATACATCCTCTCTTTGGTATAAATTTAAACTAATATACATTTGATTAATGATAAAATTATTTTGTAATAATAAATTAATTTTTGTATTAATATATTTGAGTTTGATTATTTAATAGAATAATAACAAATGAGCTATGTAGTTCTCAATGACCCGAGTAGCCCATTAATATATATAAAAATTAAAAAATACTATCACATATCGTTATTTTACTGAATTGTTTATATTAATATTTCAACGGTCGTAAACTCGTACCTATTTAATATTTATCATAAGTTTGATTTGACTAGGTAAGTAAATAAATAATAATAGATATAAAATAACTACTTACTAAATATCATATTATTTACCTATTATCCTTACTTAATAATTTTATTTTTCCTCAAAATATTTTGTGTAATATTATATAAGAACCTATTTATTAATATACCTACAATAGGTTATACTGTTATAGATACACCGGTACACGTTATATTATAGGGATTAACATATAATATGAATACTAGTTTATACTTGTCTTATACTCGCATTAAAAATGTTTATCTATACAATTTAGATCCTGTAAGTATTTGCCATTAGTAGAACACATTTTCAAATTGATTAAACTAGGTAGTATAATTTTTAGATGTGTTAATTAAATTTAAATATGAAGCTTTTTGTTTTTGGTTAAAAGTTAAAATGCGTTTAAGTCTAATATTTTTTTGAATTCTATAGTAAATAAAACATTGACGAATTATCTACTTACTCTGTTTATGTTTTACCTGAAATAGTTTTCTATTCACTCAATATTAAACTAAATTGTATGATTGATCGATGATTTACGGGATTGTATAAAAAAGAAACTAAATGTTTCGCTTAAATTTTCCATGACGAATTATATTATTTCCTTTGGCATACATACTTTTTTCGTTATTATATTATTTCCCATAGTTATATAGATATATAAATGATATTGTTGTATATAAAATGCATGTATAGAGGAGATAAATAGATATTGAGAGCAATACAAATATCTCAATATTTTTTTAATTATGGAAATGCACGTATTATTTATTTCTAAGAACAAATGCTCTTTAATATCAATTGAGAATTTTTGTGTTACTTTAGTATATATGCAATTGTTATTAAAACTAATTTCTTATCGGTTTATTTTAGARTAATTATGTTATTTTAACGAATATCTTGCCTAGAAAAAAAATAGGTACCTACTTTATTATTAATTCATTTTTATTTTTATCAACATGACAGAAGCTATTAGTTGAACGTATTCTATAAATCACATACTCATTTTCGTAGTGAACTGCAGTCTACACATTTTTATATAATATGAAATAGTTATTATCCTTGATTAAGACGTAAATCATACAAGTTGACATATGAATGCTTTATAAAAATGTACACTATACGAAAAACAAATTACTTTCTGAATTTTAAACGTAAATTCTAAGTTTAAAATTAATTATGTTTATATGCACATTAATATTGTATAATGTAATATTACCTACTCATAATTAATAAATTGAATCTGGAATCTGAAATTACTAAAATAATGTAAAAATTTCATTACATATAATTAATTATGTTAGTTGTTTATATAGATATGAATTTATTATATCATATTATAGTTAAAGTAATTTGGTGTCAATAGAATAATACATTAATTATAAGTGTAAATTATGCCTCTAGGTATACCTATAAGACAAAAATATTATTTAATAATATCAATAATTGTATTGGTTGTTAAATGATAACCTTAGCAATAAAAGTTATGATGGGCGAAATTAGCACTTATGCCGAGTTGCATAAAAACAGCTTAATTTAATGATTCACTAAATTGTAATAGATTAATCATAGGCCACCTAAATTATGTCTAATTTTTGCTTACTATTAATGCATTAAATGTATATTAACTCCAAATATAAGAACCTCAAGTGCGCGTATAAATATAGCGTATTTTATGTAATATATTATCAATATTTATAAATATTTTAATTATTGTTTATTTTAATAACATTTGTGAGATATGATAAAACATTGCGGTTATAAATGAATCTAGTATTAATTGTTAATAACATGTTTTAATAAAAATTTTCTTGAAAAATATTACATTTTAAAATTGAATTTCAATAACGAAATAGGCGTGATTCACGATATCAACAAAATTATTATTCCATGTTATACTATTATAATTAATCTTATGGTACGGTCTATGGCATATCAGCTGCTTTTAAATTAACCACCATTGTCTTTTCCTTATTACCTGACACTGTATTTATTATTTTGTTATTGATTTGAAAATTGTATCATTGTCTTATTTTAATAATTTGTAAAATCGATGATTTTAAATATGATTTTAACCTTATGTTAACTTAAATATGATTTTAACCTTAAATTTTTTGCTTTTTAAAAATGAATCGTATTCATTTAAAATGTGTAAACTATTGTAGATAGTTAAAAACTAGAAATAGTCGGCATATCAATAAAATGCATGTTTAAAATAAATATTACAGATTGAATGAATGAAATTTATAATTTTATWAAATAAAATACGGACAATGATTTAATTATCATTGATTGTTATACTTATTTTATATAACGTAAGTATCTATTTATTCTATTTACTATTATTAATCATGGTTATGTATTACATATTATTATTAAGAAAAAAATTATACACATATTATTGATTAGTTTGTCATTCATGTTTTACTAGGTAGATTGTGTTATATATGACGGTTTCTAAATGTCGTTAAGGGTTGTTACAGTAACGATGTATTATCGAGTGTCTGACCTATTAAATAATATTAAGGGCGTATAAGTATAGGAATTTATGTTTTGTGTAGTAAATGAATGATTTGTTTTTTGTGTTCGTGTTCAACAGTAATTATTGTTATACTTTTCAATCCATTCATCTTATCTTGATATCCATTATCAAAGATTAATTAATTGTATTTGAATTTTTGTACGTGTATTTGAATTTAGTGAATTTACCATTGACGAATAAACTTTATTACATATTTCAAACGATCGATGTTTTCGACCGTGTTTATTCAGCTTAACATATTGACGTCACCTATGTCCTCATTTATAGTTTACTCTTATTAAATATACGTATAATTATAGAAATTATTTTTAAAAAAAAAACTTCATTAATCAATTTAACTTGTATTGTTACAATTAGGTATAGGTAATCATGCAATAATGGCTTGTGTTAATGATAAGGTGTTTTAGAATTAAGAAAATAATGGTACTTATATGATTATATCTTATACCTACGTAGTATAAATTATTAAAGCAAATAGGTTAAAAGTCTATATTTATTAATTACTCTATACAAATCAAAATCATGCGTTTACTTGTGTAAGAAAAAAAACAATGCTCAATTGCCTAATAATATTTAGACACGAGTGGTCATATATTTCAAAAAATTAAAATTATTGTATTTTTTTTGGTATTTGGCAGTTTTGTTTTTTTTTTATTAATGATAGGATTTATAAAAACACTGATATTAGGAAACTTAGGTGTTGATCATAGTTATTTTATTATTCGAGAATAAATATGATTATCGTTTTACTTCATACAGATTACCTATAGGTAAGCATAATATAAGTAAAAACATTGACGTTGTAGTCCTCGCTTAACCATAAACCATGAATGGGGTATATATAGGAACATACATTGATTGACGTTATTATTTTTCAATATTTATTTGAAAATCTGCGATTTATTGATTTTCATTGAAAATTATTGTTTTAGGATGGTACTAGAACTGAAAGGAGAGCCTAGCACTGATGGAATCCAAAATCGAATTGGAATTAAAGGGGTTTCCTATACATCTAACGAAGGCCATAAAAAAGAATTCGTTCATATTGAAATTGACATGCCTCCAGCTAATGGACATTTAGTAAGTTATTGTGTTATCATTATTTTATTTTAAAATATATAAATACCTAAATAGTTTTATATTATAAATATTTTAATAGAAAAAGTAAGCATTCAACAGATATTTTTGATTATATTATAACTACTATATTAAATAATAAATGTTAAATTAGTTGTTGAGGCTTTAACTTTCAGTTAAAATTAAAAAAAAGAAATAATGTACAATTCTGTGATTTCTATTCGACATTTATGAGTCTTATATGAATTATAACCATATTACATAATGTCTCATGAAATTCAATGTACTTAGTAGATATTACTTTACTTGAACTGTAAACACTTCTAAACAATATAATTTGATACATACTAACTGTCATATGCCCATAATATATTATGAAATATTGGTGTATAATTACACGAAATTTCAGTGTAATATTAGTTACTTTTCATTATTATTTTAGTTATACTAAAAAAAAAAATGAACAATAATTTTTGAGTATAAGCTGCCATTTTCATACAGTAATATTTTTTTTATAAAATRAAAAATTGTTTTATTACTTATCAATTAATCATGGCAACGAGAGTTTATTAAAAAATACTGAATAAATAAATCTGTAGAATTAAAAAAAAACAAGTTATAATATTATCTTGTTTGAAAAACGAGTAATGACAACTCGGTGATAAAACACAAGTTATGACGTTATATTCAAGACAAGAATTATATTTGGTATTTTCATACAATAAATTTATATTTTAAAATTTAAAATTTAAACATTTCAATTTKATCTTATTTATATTTAAATCCRTTTAGGTYTATGTTCATAATATTAATTGTTTATCTTCAGTTAATTAAACTTGCCAACCTWATTTATTAATGAAAATAATTTGATGACAAAGAGTCAAATATTAGTTTTTAGATTCTATAAGCTTCGATGAATGTATTGATTTCACAATGATTACGTGTGTGTGGTTTTTTTTGTATCCAGATACTTTTTATATTCGAAAAAATGTTTCAATCTTCAATTTAAACATCTTCTCTGTTAAGTAGATCTGATAGGTAATTTTGGGGAAGTRGGCAGAAGTTAAATRTTTCCAGTTTTTTTCTTAATAAATGAGAAAAAATAGGAATTTTCACGCTAAATCAGTTTTGACAAAATTTATTTTGTAATTCAAAAATGAATAATGTTGACATTTGACATTTTAGTTTTTATGTTTTAAAAATACTTCAAATGCAGGAAAATTTACAAATTTATAACCTTCAGTTTTTTTTGTTTTTTATTTAACACATCTAAACATCTAAAACAGCACAGTGAGTATCCTGGGTTTTAGGTTTACAAGAAAGAATACGCTGTGAAAATATTTCTCACCTTATATTATCATTGTAAGAACGTACGTTTTTAAATTTAAGAAAAAGCCAAAAATCATGGTGTTTTATAAGAATATTATATTATTTATATTGACGTGTGATACTATTATACATTTCATTTTTTTTCTTTTATCATGTGTTTGAAAYGTTTACTATATAAACAGCAGGTAACTTCAACTAAAATATATGAGTGTTTGGCGTGGAAATAATGTATCCATAATAGTTATTGTGTATAGTGTATTTCTAAACGTGTATTAGACACATGCAGTATAATAGGTTTTTCATGAATTCATAATATTTCTGTTCTTATCTTATTAGTGTATTAGTTATGCAGTGTAATAAAATAAAGCCCCTTAAAGCTCCCCTCCATCACCATAAGTCATCCAGTTTTTGTCTGTATCTTATTGTAAGCGCCACATAAATACTGATAAAATTTCGTAGGTACCTACCTAAGTGACGAATAACAAACTAGGCTTTTGTTTAATTAATTTCAGTTTGTTTGCTTTAGACCGCAACTGTTCAGTACAATAAATAAATATAAAACAAATGTAATCTAATGTTGACGTGTCCATGTTGGTAGATACTTAGATTTGTATTATTTTTAAGTTGTACCTAGCTATAAGATATACAAATGTAAATGACAAATTTGTACTATTATGGTAAATACTTCTCTAAGTATTGTAAAATACGTATATTTTATTACCATTATTTTTCGCTAATGTTTTTATAACGAGTTGTATCCAATTCTTCAGCTTACGTACATTTTGAAAACAATTTATCATTTATCAACACTATTTTGTCGTGAAGTAAGAAATAGGTATATGCGTGGCATGACATATTATTAATATGTGTTTTTACCTACTCTTTAATATAAATAATATAATAATTATAATAGTTAAATAGTAGTTCCGAAAATATATTAATGCTATGTAACTTGTTAATTACGCCAAGGTGACTTACTATATTCAACATACTAACAAATTGGACTTAAGAGTTTATCATTTGTAAATTTTCAATAATAATAATAATTATATATTAGGTATATAAATATAATTGATTATAATAATATGCATAACGCATTTACTATATATGTGTAATGTACAAATGTGTATGTTTTATGAAGTTGTAATAATAGTTAATTTTTTTTCTAAATTTCAAATAAGTGTCCTAAAAGATTCATATCATTATACAATTTATTTAATCTTAATGTTTCAAAAATGAATATGAGAGATATGATATGATAAAATTAACCTTCGTTATTGTCAGGAAAAAGTGAAAAGTGGAAAAATTACGACACWTWAGTTTTCAGGAAAGTCTTTAATTATATAGTAATTTAATAATAACTGTTTTTCTGTGATTTAAATAATAATATACATTGTAAGCTTAAAATATCGATAGATTTCAAAACCCATTTAGAAAAACTATTAGTATAGACGTAAAACAATACATTTGTATTAGGTATAATGGTATTCAAATACTCGTTATATTTATGTA